CTACACTAATATTTGACGCCTGACCAAACGATTTATTATTGATCATAGTTTGTTTCACTAGCAAATAGCCTACAAATAACTAATAACTAGCTAAATAATGGACTTGACGGATCTGAGAGCGCTTTCAGGAATTTTCTAGGATTTTGCCAGGGGAAACAAAAATTGAGCATATTTTCAAGTCTAGCGAAAAAGAGACAAAAAGAAAAATGATGAGCGAGGACAATTTACCGGTATTCTGTGATGTGTAAGCTATAGGGATATGAAATTGCTCAACATTCTGATATTTGTCTCGTTTTGCTTGTAAAAAGAATGTGAAGAGAGAGAAAAGAGAAGAGAGGGCACCTCCCTCTCTAAAGAAATTCCTTTCGAAGGCAGAGATCTCATGATTAGAGATTGAAGTGAATTTCTTTCGTAAACGTAATTATTGTACTTACATGGGTCTAATGCAAAATGTTTACTTTGGGCATCAAAGGCAAATGTAAAAAGAATTACATCTCCCTCCTTATGTATTTATTTTCCCCCCCCCCCCCCCCCCCCCCCCCCACCACACACACACACACACATTACATATTTCTTCCAAGCATTTGATCTCTCCGCCTTTTTCGATCCACTCATATTGAATACTACCTGATCGATGAGCTCTTGGTGAAAGCTCAACGACCGCTTCCTCTTTTTAAAAATAAATAAATAAATAAATAAAATTAGAAAAGCAAGGATAGAGCAAGACGGTAGGGAAACACTGAACAGGCAAATAGAGATGTGCTTTACTGTCTGATTTGCAATGCCGTAACAACTACCACAACGCAGCTTTGATCTCGGTGCGTTTTCCACACAATAATAATAATAATAATAATAATAATAATAATAATAATAATAATAATAATATGGCAAGCAGTAATAAGACAAATATCTTTCTCGTCATTTGAAAAAAAATGGCTGCCGTATTTTATATATGCGACATATATAGTATTCATGAACAGCCTAGAACGCTATTTCAGCGGTTATTTTTATCGCGAAAAGCTAAGCGTGTTTGACGGAAGCCTCATCACGTGAGACTAGGACAGAGTTGATGCAGTGATGCGTCGCCCAAGCATGACGGCGCGTGCCTCTGCCTTATCGAGTGAGGCCAGGCCATATTTAATGTGGTTATCAGAGGGCAGGAGAGATTCGATATTATACAGGTATAGGCATTGCATAGCGTAGACATAATACAAGATGATTCCTGGTGGTCAGAAAGACGGGAAGAACCCCGAAGAGGGAGTAAAACTTTTTTGGAAATCAAAGACTTTTGTTTATTTCCCGGAACCGATTATATATCCCTCTATATAGTTCCAAATAAAATATTTTATCTACCTTTATAAATTAGGGGTAATTTAACCGTTTTAGTTCCAGTCTATCAAAGACAGAGGTGAGGGGACATTGTAAAGGTTTTCACAGTTAATATCAACAGTCTACTCAGCCACTTGCTCTGTCATAGCAAATGCTTAGGGCGCATTCCCAAAGTGACTATCGTTTTGCGTAGACCGATCCAACTCCGAGTGGACTCTCGCCAGCTAGTGGATGAATAACTTGTGTGTGCACTCGGCTTTTGGAAGCTTTTTGAATTTTCACTTCATTTTGAGTGCGACCGAACGCACAAGAAGGGTTAGGCCTACCTTCGAGGGGAATCAGTTCAAACTAACGCTCTTAATTTCTTTTTCGGTACTTCTCGAATGTCAGTTTTACTTTTTTGCTATGGTTTGAAAAACGCACCCCGAATGAATTTTTTAATCCCACGTAGTTCGTGAATTGTTTTAATGTTATGTCATTTCTCGTCATAATGAGTCGTAGAGACCCTGAATATCACTGTAAACTCAACTCGGGGCGTGCTCTGACAACTGCTAATAGAAGTCAATTTCTGCTGGTAATCTGGTTAACTCAGGATATTTGCCAATCGTAAATTCGATTATTTTACTTCCAGTTAATATTTATACGTCATTATTTACTTGCTTTGATCCAACTGCTCCTCCTGGAGCAAAGGTCACCTACAACCCCCAACCCCCCCCCCCCCAACCCACCCCTGCTCTCGACTCTCCCCTTTCCTGCAATTCGCCATTATTTTCTTGGTTTCTTTTGTCGCTGTGGGGACAAACTACGGTTATGTTCGTGCACGGACACATCAGAACTGATAGGTTCAAAATTCGTGTCGCAGGGTTCATTCCCATTGAAACTACCGTTCTAAGTAGATCGACCAAACTCCGTGGGGACTCTTGCTGAATGCAATAAGATTAACAGATTACAACTGCACAAGCCCCTATCCTAGTTTTGAATAGTTACAGAAAAGCTGGTGGTTATGTAAATACAAGGATGATAAAGTGAAGAGGTGTGTTTATATGTTAAACACACTGCATTCGACGCGAGTAGGGTCGATCTACGTAAAACCACGTTCACTGGGAATGAGCCCTGCAGGGTGGCAGTAGAGGGGGCGGGCAACTATGAAATGATTGATTGGAATTGTTCGTCAAATGTTAACAGTGGACGAAGTCAATTTTACTTGAATATAGCCTTTATGGTACTCGGATGAAAAATTTGTTTTTCTCTCGTTTCGCTCTTTGCTTTATTTTCTTTATTAATTTATCATTATCAATTTATTTTAAGGATCATCCAAGAGGCAGTCCGTATCAAATAAGAGACTGTACCACACAACAAGTACTAAACCGGTTAAGAATAGTTTATTCACCAATTTGTTACAAACGTTTTCAATCACCTCAGTTCATCGAGTTTTCATTCATCATGAATAACATTAAGCGCTGAAAGATTGCCGTTCGTTAGAACAGTTTATACTACTGTGTAATAAATGTAAGGAAGCATAGAGTAACCCCTTTAAACACTGCACATTAATTCATACCACTTCAATTTTGAATCAATAATGGTGATTTTCATTAATGACCCTTGCCTTTCAAAGGGAAGGGCTTCAAAAGCGATTGACAGTACCCAAACTTCAGAGGGAGGGGCTTCAAAATGATTGACATCCTGTTGGCAACCCCTGACAATAGGGGTAATTATGGCATACATATGAATTTTCTACTCTAACCTTTTCTAATCATCCATTACCATTCATTGTCTTTACAACTTGACCTAATAGTAGTAAAGCTAAACAAAAGATTCCGCATTGCATTATCACAATTTTTCCATTGTAGAAGTTCTTGTCTAAGTGAAAAAGTAAATG